AAAAAAAAAAAAAAAAAAGTAAACAGGGAGGTCTCCTGAGCCTGACATGGTTCTCAGCCTGGTGGGTACTCATTGTGTAGTCATGGATATAAAGCACTCATAGAAGCTACCAGGCTCTATGTGTGACAGTTCCATCATCCCCTTTTCAGGCAGTCTGGGCACTGGGAAACATAGCTGGAGACAGCTCTGCTTGCCGAGATTACGTCTTGAACTGTTCCATCCTTAATCCTTTGTTAACGTGAGTAATTATAATCATCTGCACCTGGGGTATCTATATAGCATGGCCATATGACAGGTCATTTATGAGCAGTTTATTTGATCCCTTAAGATAATAGGTAAGGGTGGTGCTTGTGGCTCAAAGGAGTAGGCTGCTGGCCCCATATACTGGAGGTGGTGGGTTCAAACCCGGCCCTGGGCCCCCCCCCCGCCCAAAAAAGATAATAGGTAAATACAAAAACTCTAAAAATGTATTCTGATTGCCCTAGTAAAAGATAAGTATCTTTTGAGATTAAGAAGATTGTGCCACTGGCTATGCCAAGGCATATTTTATTCCTCGCTTCATAGCACTGTAGATCCAGGTGTTGGTCATATCTCCCTCATTGTTGAGCGAGGAAACAGAGGCAAAACTAGCCCATCTGGAAAAATCCAAACTTCTACAGAAGGCATTCATTTGCCAAAGAGTTATATATAGGTACATTGGACAGTTCTGCTATAAATCACAGATCCCAAGACCCCATGAAGGGTCATGAGAATCCCTCTCTAATCCCTCCCACACACACCCTTAGAGTAAGCTATATCTAAACCAAAACAGAGGCTTGGTGCCTGTAACTCAGCGGCTAGGGTGCCAGCCACGTATACCAATGCTGGCAGGTTCAAATCCAGCCCCGGCCTGCCAAATAACAATGACAACTACAACCAAAAAATAGCTGGATGTTGTGGCGGGCACCTGTAGTCCCAGCTCCTTGGGAAGCTGAGGCAAGAGAATTGCTTAAGCCCAAGGGTTTTAGGTTGCTGTGGACTGTGATGCCATGGCACTCTACCCAGGGTGACAGCTTGAGACTCTGTCTCAACAAATAAATAAATAAATAAATAAATAAACCAAAACAGATGAATGAACTGTTCTGCAGAGACCACAGTCTCATAGGCTACCACTATGACTTTCTTGGACCCTTCACAGAAAAATCATTCCATGTTGCAAGGCTAAAATCTCTCTCAATGATAGTCCTTTACTTTTTATTTCCAAAGAGAATACTACTCCTTGTCCTGGGCTTGTGGCCAGGGTTAGGAGCACAGTGCATTCTACCTTAAAAGCTTTACAGGCTTACAAGATCTAGCCTCTGTTTTGTCCCTGTTATCTATGGTATTAACTAACAACATCTGGTCTTGCACAACACTACTCTGCAGAGGTTGACCTTCCAGACTATAGCTGCTCTGTTAACATAGGCCTATGGGTAAGAAGAAACAGACAGGCTACTAGAGTCTGGGGGATTGAATTAGATTTGGCCCCAGGATTCATTTGCAGTAGTCTTATGCCAAGGCACCAAATGCTCAGGATGTCTCTTTGCTGTTTCCTTCAGACTCCTTACCAAGTCAACACGACTGACAATGACACGGAACGCAGTCTGGGCCCTGTCAAACCTCTGCCGAGGGAAGAACCCACCCCCAGAGTTTGCAAAGGTGAGAGAGCTATTTACCAGTCCCCAAGTAATGACAGGTTCCTTCATATGGAGTTTTTAAAGTCTTACGGGTACTCTCAAATCATGGGAAGCTGAAAGAGGCACTTGTCAGTGAATTAGGTAATCTGTCCTAGCTAGTAAATTAAAAAGGTAAGCCTAAAGGTTCTATGTAGGAAAGATCCTTGGAGTCAAGAATTATTTGGGGAAGAGAGGGTAGCAATGTTAGAGTTAATGATGGAGCTGATGTAGCCCTGTTCTGTATGAATCTTTCCCAATCTGCTTCCAACAGGTCTCTCCTTGTTTGCCGGTACTGTCTCGCCTACTCTTCAGCAGTGATTCAGACTTGCTGGCAGATGCTTGCTGGGCCCTCTCTTATCTGTCTGATGGCCCAAATGAGAAGATCCAGGCGGTCATAGACTCTGGAGTCTGCCGGAGATTGGTAGAGCTGCTAATGTAAGTGGTCTCAGAAAAGGTACCGGTTCCCCAAGCTGCTCCAAGTGCAGACTAAAGATCTGCAGTTAGCAATTTGCTGCCCTAGTCAGAAGTCTGGAGCCACGAGAATGCTGCCAACATTGGGTGGTCAGCAGGGCTGAAAATGGTGTGTTGGCTCTATGCTGATCACATCTCCCTCCTTTGTAGGCACAATGATTATAAAGTGGCTTCCCCTGCCCTGAGAGCCGTGGGTAACATCGTCACCGGGGATGACATCCAGACCCAGGTAAGGAGAAGCAGGGTGCAGGATCTTAGACCAACTATAGGAGTGCACTGTGGACAAAAGCCACCCTGCCAAGGGCTGTAGTACTGATAGGCAGGGAATGAAAAGTTCTAGCTCTGTCACTCTATGTGATCATAGGAAACTTACTTCCCTTTCTTCTATAAATTGGAAACAAAACATCATCCAATGGGTGCTTGAGAAGGAAAACTAAATGCAATAACTAGACTTAACTGCCTGGAACATTGTAGTTAAGTTTAAGTCTTGGTCCCTTTGAGATACTGAAAGCTATGGAACCCCAGCCCTGCTTTCTTTAGGGCCCCTTGGCCACTATCTTGTATTAATCTTGTATAAATAACCCCTCCAGTAAGGATGTAGTAAATAACATTCTCCTGCTCAAAGGGTGGAGATCTGGGTATTCTTAGGGTCTTGAATAGTTGACCATAATTCTGTGGGATTCTTGACAGGTTCCTTACAGGTGAGCAGTCTCTATTGAATCCATACACTCATTGTCTAGGTCATTTGTATGTGTACACACACACCCACCCAAATATAAAACCATTTTAATAATTTAAGTGGAATTTGTACATTCACGTTTTCATTTCATTATCACCACTGTCCATCCACAGAATTTTTTCATCATCTCAAACAAACTTTGTATCCATTAAACAGTAACTTCCCATTCTTCCCTCCCCTACAACACCAAGTAACCATCAGTCAACTTGCCCTGAGTTTAACCACTCCAGTCTCTCATATAAGTGGAAACTGAGGCTCCACGCCGGTTGCACAGTGTGTGCGCCAACCACACACCAAGGGTGGTGAGTTCGAACCCAGCCCAGGCCGGCTAAACAACTGCAACAAAAACAAACAAACTAAAAAATAGCCAGATGTTTTGGAGGGTGCCTGTATTCCCAGCTACTTGGGAGGCTGAGGCAAGAAAATCACTTAAGCCCAAGAGTTTGAGGGTGCTGAGAGCTGTGACACCATGGCACTCTACCAAGGGCAACATAATGAGACTGTGTTTCAAAAAAAAAAAAAAAAAAAGGTGGAAACATACAGTACTTGTCCTTTTTCATCTGGTTTATTTCATTTAGCTTAATTATTTAAGATTCATCCATGTTTAGCATGTGTCCACTGATAGACATTTGGGTTGTTTCTGTCTTTTAACTATTGTGAATAAGGCTGCTATGAACTTTGGTGCCTGGGTATTTTTTGGAGTCCCTATTTTCAGTTCTTTTGGGTATATACGCAGAAGTGGAATTACTGAATTGTATGATCATTCTAAATTTTTGGAGAAGCCACCATACATTTTTGTGGAACTGCTATACCATTTTACATTCTCACTAGCAATGTACCATGTTCTAGTTTCCCCATAGCCTTGCTAACACTATTTTCTTTCCTTTTTTTTTTTTTTTTTTTTTTT